CAAAAGCATCAGTTATTCGGCGGTCAACTTTCTTTATGGTCCAGCTGTAGTGTTCACCCTTATTATGTTAAGTAGTCATGCATTATTCATGTTGTAGGCTAATATTGCTAAGAAGCGGAGCCTAGAGATATGTTAAAAAAGGCGGAGTCAGAGAGAGTCAGTCAGCCAGAGAGTCAGAATGACAGAGAGAGGAGAGATCAGAGTGGAGAGATAGAGTGTGGTATTTGGGAGATCTGAGGGGTGATTAGAGTGAAGAGTGAATAAGAACTGTTATAACAAATAGAAGGTTGAGATTGATGATAAATAAACCTGTAGAAGTTACCTATGATTAATAATCAAACATCTGTAAACAATAAACAAGTTTTATTTAAAAGACAGTGAAGTTTGGATCTTTATCTTCATCCTATGATTTAGTGATCAACTGGTGGCAGCGGGTAAAAAAGGAGTACAGTATTAGTTTGCCTTCATGTGTTCTGTGTTTGGAGAGTCAGGCAGGGGCGCAAGCGAATGCCACACCAGCTCTCACTTCCATACATCTCTACAGGAAAAATCATAGCTTTGACTATGCGTACCTTTGTTGGCAAGGTGATGTCTCTGCTTCTTAAGATGCTGTCTAGGTTTGTCATCGCTTTCCTCCCAAGAAGCAGGTGTTTTTTAATTTCGTGGCTGCTGTCACCATCTGCAGTGATCAAGGAGCCCAAGAAAGTAAAATCTGTCACTGCCTCCATATCTTCCCCTTCTATTTGCCAGGAGGTGATGGGACCAGTGACCATGATCTTAGTTTCTTTTATGTTGAGCTTCAGACCATTTTTTGCGCTCTCCCCTTTCACCCTCATTAAGAGGTTCTTTAATTCCTCCTCACTTTCTGCCATCAGAGTGGTATCATCTGCATATCGGAGGTTGTTGATATTTCTTCCGGCAATCTTAATTCGGGTTTGGGATTCCTCCAGTCCTTTCGCGTGAGGTATTCTGCATATAAGTTAAATAAGCCAGGGGACAATGTACAGCCTTGTTGTTCTCCTTTCCCAATTTTGAACCAATCAGTTGTTCCATATCCAGTTCTAATTGTTGCTTCCTGTCCCATGTATAGGTTTCTCAGAAGGTAGATAAGGTAGTCAGGCACTCCTATTTCTTTAAGGACTTGCCATAGTTTGCTGTGGTCAGTCAGATAGCTCTGTGGAAATAGTGTCATTGAGGAATAGTATGTCAGTTGCAGGAAACTTTTAGTTTGCTCCTCAGTTTTACCTGTTCAAGCTCCATCCAGGATATTTCCTTATACTGTACTTATCCTCCTTCATATAAGAGTCGTGTCGTGTTTGTTTGCTTCTGATACAATGAAGGTTATTTTCCCTCTGGGTAGCAGATGTTTCACTTCTGTAGTTTTCAGTACAATATTAAATCTTCCCAACCATATTTTGTTGCTAGCTGTCCTTTGGTTACAGCCTGAAATTGTGGACAGCTTTACCCAAATCTCAACTTTTGATGAGCAGTCTTAATTCAAGAGTCTAAAAATCAGCTGCTGGAGACTGAACCAGAGAAGAGGTTTATGTAGGAAATTAGCATATCAAGAGGAAAGGCTAAGCTGGACTCTTTTCTGACAGGCTAGCTTTTTCCATTCAAGGTGTCTTACCCCCACATCAGAGAGCATTCAAACATGATGCACAAAAATAAAATGGTTTATTCCATCACCATAGTCTTTGATAATTGTATAAATAGGTTCTCCATTTTCCTCTGGAGATTGATGACCTTTGAATAGAAGTGCTGCAAAGTGTTGGACTGTAAAACACATGCAGCTGAGCCAAAAACCAGCTGCGTATGGAGGACAGTGTTGTTTACTCTGACTTCCTCTTGTCCTCAGAGAAGCCTTTGCCATTCTCATTGGTAATATGAAATACAGTGGTGCCTTGCATAACGAGCGCACCGTTTAACGATGAATCCGTGTAGCGATGCGGATTTTGCGATCGCTAATGCGATCACATACTGATGTTTCTTTGCATTGCGATGGGGGAACAGCTGTTCGGCGGTTCCAAAATGGCCGCCGGAACACCCAAAATGGCCACCGGAACACCCAAAATGGCCACTGGAACACCCAAAATGGCTGCCAGAACACCCAAAATGGCTGCCGGAACACCCAAAATGGCTGCCGGAACACCCAAAATGGCCGCCGGAACACCCAAAATAGCCACAGCCGGATGGGGAAACATCACAGAATGGTGAGTTTTGGGACCATTTGGAACCCATATGGGTTTCCCCGTTCCGTATAGCGATGTTCCCCATAGCGAAGGTTAATCCGGAACGGATTAACCTCGCTATGAGGAGCACCACTGTAATGACAAATAAAATAAAGGGAATTAAGTTCCTTTGTTTAGCTTTTCTTTGGTGCCCCATAGTAGCTAAGTGACTGAAGTGTACATCAGGAAATCCCTGATTTGAATCTCCCATGGGTAGGCACCTTTTAGTATCACCCAGTTGTTTCTTTTCAATTGTAATCCTACTTAAAGTAGACTCATTAACATCAGTGGGACCTAAGTTAGAGGGCAACTACATTGGCTATTTACCCCACAATTCGTGTTGGATTTGGCACAGATAAAATTAAAATTTTAAAAATTGTGATTATAGAATGTAAAGCTTAGTGCGACGAAAAATGGGGGGTCATTTTTCATTCAGCTGCCAGGGGGTAGCTTATTCTGGACTGATTAGCTGCCATTGCTTTTTTTGTTGTTCCTGACATGTGTGAATGCCTGATCCAAAGCAAAAAAAGGTGGTCATGAGGTGTCAGTGGGCATTCTATTACATCAGCACCCCTTAGCTGAATGTCTCTTGTCTCCTTGCTTCCAAACATTTTTTCATTTTTAAAAAAAATTGTACTTGCCAAGGCTAGTCCTATGCTTGATAAATGATATGTTGCTTTGGAATTTTTATAAAAAATGAAAGTGAGGAGGAAGGGAAAGGGTGGCCCTGGTGAAAATTAATGATCAGCAAAGTTGGCTGCAGCAATTTCATCCATGGGGACCAACAGGGACCTGGTTTGAACTAGTTTTCCCCCACTGTGTAGTCACAGTTATGATTAATAACACTAATTAATTTCAGTGGCCATATTCTAGGTAGGTGTTGTCTTTCCTGGACCTGCTACTGATCAACCTGGCAGGTGGTAATTTCATGAAGTTGTTTCTTCTTCTTCTTCTTCTTCTTCTTCTTCTTCTTCTTCTTCTTCTTCTTCTTCTACTACTACTACTACTACTACTACTACTACTACTACTACTACTACTACTACTACTACTACTACTACTACTACTACTACTACTACTACTACTACTACTACTACTACTACTACTACTACTACTACTACTACTACTACTACTACTACTACTACTACTACTACTACTACTACTACTACTACTACTACTACTACTACTACTACTACTACTACTACTACTACTACTACTACTACTACTACTACTACTACTACTACTACTACTACTACTACTACTACTACTACTACTACTACTACTACTACTACTACTACTACTACTACTACTACTACTACTACTACTACTACTACTACTACTACTACTACTACTACTACTACTACTACTACTACTACTACTACTACTACTACTACTACTACTACTACTACTACTACTACTACTACTACTACTACTACTACTACTACTACTACTACTACTACTACTACTACTACTACTACTACTACTACTACTGTTCATTAGTGTTAATTCAGTGGTGCTTGTAGAGAGGATGGAACAGTCAGTGTTGCCCAGGGGATGCCCGAATGTGTTCACGTTTCTCAAGATTCTTGAGGGAGGCTCCTTCCATGCCCCCTTTCCATGAGGCAAGTCAGACCCAAACAATTTCCAGTGTTTAAAATGCACTGGATTTTAGCCCAATGTAAATTCCATGTAGAATAGCAGCTGACTTTATTTTTCAAGTGTTATAACTTTGTACATGCATATGTATGCGTCCTGTACTGTCCATATGGGTGAGGTGGCTTATCTTTCTGGGAAGGCACATCGTTTTACCATTCTCTTTATTTTTTAAATCAGTATTTGTGTTTAAATGCTTTTTCATTAGTCTGAGTATTACAAGCTAAACGTATTTTGCCATTGGTGAGCTTTAAACATTAATTTTACAAACATTAAATAATAATCATGTTCCGTCAAGTTAATTTTCAAGGTTTTCCAGGTAAAGAATACACAGAAGTAGTTTACCATTCCTTTCTCCTTGGGATTGTGCAGCTTGCCCAGGACTACACAGGCTTTACAAAATTAACATGCTGCTAAAATGGTGCCAGATTAGCATAAAGTGCATATACATGTCCGTAAACTTAACTTCTTGTAATTTAATTGCAGGTCTCAAAAGTGTGTCTCGGTATAGCAATGCCAGATTGATCTGTGCTGGGGGAGACTGCCTTGCTGTTCTGTCCATATCCCAAAATTTGGTTGTCTAAAATCTCAGTAGAGATGAAAGAACCATGGGGAAAAATGTGGGAGCAGGGTGGATAAAAATGAATGACTTTTAAAACCACATTGATCTAAATCACAATTTAAATTTTTAAAAAATCATTTTAAACAATTTAAATCATCAGAATTAGATTTTTTAAAAAAATGTAAATCATGATTTAAATCAGTTTAATTTAAGTCAAATCTACCCTGCATGGGAAACAAACAATTTGAGGATGACTTCCTCATTTTTATAAATGTGATTGAATAAAGTCTGGAACACCAGAGCTAGAATGTAGCATTGGAAATACTGGAGACATCTTTAAAGGACTATATCATTTATTGACATTCAGGCCTAGCCCTTTACCTCACCCTTGCAAAATAATTATAATAGCAACGGCAGCAGCAACCTTCTTCACAAGACTGTTATAACCATAAGGTTTACAATTATGTACGTAAAGCATTTGGAACACATAATGCAATATACAGTACAAATAATAATTATAGCTGGGATTGATCTACATTTTACCTCCCTCCACTCAGATGGTGCCACTGTCTTAAAACCTCTGTCTTGCATGATGGAAGACTTACCAAGCTCTTCTGTAGTTGATTAATGTACCTCCAGATGCCCTTCTGGTTCCTGCTGGAAGATGGAAGAGAAGGAAGAAAGGTGAAGAAGAATGGTTGATTGCTTCTTTTTAGTGTTTTCTCAAAACCATTTCCCTCCCCCCGTCATTATTTGCAGTGGGAGGGAAATTATTTATACCAACTCTAGTGTAGAGCTAATTCTCTTAGAGAGAAACTCTAAGCCCAAAATAAAAAACACTTGTAGATTTTACATTTTGCCATTTAAGGAGGAAATAATTTTAAATATCCCTTGTGGTAAAAAACTAAAAGAGTTAAGAGAACACGAGGCCCTTGGGGAGAACCCTTAGGAGGAGGGTCCCCCTGGCCCTAGGCAGCTTATGTTCCAGCTGAAATAGTCTTGGAAGGCAGAAAGGACTTTCTCCCACACATAAAACTTTTCTTCCTAATAAGGCTTGTTAGCTTGTCTTCTGCAAGAGGTTTTATGTCCTCATTTTTAAAACAAGAACTGCGATTTAGCTTTTGACACACTTAGTGATTTGCCTCAATGGTGGTAGCTAAACAGTTGTTCTGTGTAGAGCAGCAATTTCATTCTCAATACGGGATTCTGGCACAAACAAGGAAACATCCATACGCTTTTTAAAAGACGAAGCCGGGGACCCATTGAGCATGTTTTTGGCTTAATGTTTGAACCAGCTCTTATGATTTGTCTCATGGAGTAGTAGTACAGTATTCTGCTTAGTAACTCAGCCATTGCTTCTTGAATATTCTGGGCACTTGGTCTTTGAGTAAGTGGCACACTTGTGCACATTTCCCCTATAAATAAATATGATTATGCTGTACAAAAGTCATGAGATTCTAGGTTATATTCCTAGAGATTATGAAAACTCTTAATTAAAAACCTCTAATGAATAAACTATACTTTCCCGTTGAGTTGCATAGGTTTAAGCAGGACAGTTTTGATGATACATGGATTTTTTTTCAATTAAAAAATTTTAAAGTATTCTAATAAAAGATATAAATATTTCAATAAATAAATATTCAATAGATACTGTGCCTCTATTCATCTTGAGGAAGTGGTCTGAGAAAGGTGGGTCTCAAATGTTGCGAAACCTCTGTTGTTGTTGGCCAGGCAGCCCCTAGTTCAATAACAACAGCCTGGCTAGCCCCCTCTCCTGGCATGGCAGCTCCACGTGGCAGCTGGGGAGGGTATGGGGCATGCTGTCCAGTTAATACAATAAATTCATCTGTTCTATATATAAATGTGTGTGTGTGTGTGAATCAACTGTTTATGCTTTACAGTTATGGTTTTGGAGGCATAAGAGTTACACTCAGATTTTGAACTACATGCAGGTCCAGCGGCCCTAAACCCCAGCACTGTTGAAGGGAGAAGTGTAACTTGTTTAAAATATTTACAACAACTGATTGGTATGCATGCTTTTTCAGGAAATATGTGAATAAAGAAAACAGGAGCACAATTCAAATCTGCCTTCTTTCTCTTCCCTTTGAAATAAATCAGTCTGTACTTTGTCAGATTCGTGTTTCTGCTTGTGGGTGCCCAAGGCATCTGGCTGCCAGCTATTAGGAACAAAACTGGAATAGACAGACTTTTGATCTAATCCAGAAAAGCAGTCCTTATATAAAAGATTGTATTGAAACGCCAAATCTCTTTAGGTTACACTCTATACAGTATAGGTATTCTGTTGAGAAAGAAAAAAAAAAACAAGAGACAGAATTAGCCCTCAGTTTATATGTATATTAACAGTTAGTCTGTAGGACAAATCAGGTGAGAGTACATACATTTGTGATTGGCTATCCTGTCTCTTTACATTTTGAAACATGGCCGTGTATGGACTGAATTCTCAGTGGAACCACAGTGTTTGGGACAGTTTGGGTTAACTGTTTGTGCCAAATCATAATGGAAATCTCCAGACCCAGAGTGATCATTTCCCCCATACATGTTTTTCTAAATGTTAACACCCTCTCCCATGTTGTGATTCTGACTTTGAAAAGCCCTTCACTGCATGATAACTTAGAGATGGAACATCCATGAGCTCCATCGTCTTTGTTCTATTCATGCATTAATAACATGAACACGTGCAAAAACACTCAAATTGACATAATTTCCTTATTTGTCTGTCCCTTAACAGTACATATAACATGAGCCACCGATGAAGCATAGCAGTTAATTTCAAAATATCCCCCTCTAGTGATCGAAGGCGGAATAGCAGCTTCCCATTAGTTTCTATGGACGGAAAAGAGCAGATACAGATCAAATGGTTTTCAATGCATTCCTATGGGAAATGCAGATTTGACCTGCGAACTTTTTGACTTGAGAACTGCCTTCCAATACAGATTAAGTTCTCAAGTCAAAACCCCACTGTAATTTCCTTATTTGTCTGTCCCTTAAGAGTACATATAACATGAGCCACCGATGAAGCATAGCACAGGAGTTAATTTCAAAATGCCACTTGGCAGTAGCGTTCTTTTGGAGATCAAGCATTTCCCTTTACCAAGTGTAATGATTTTTTTCCTTGGCTGCTCTTTAGGTATTGGTAGAAATTTAGAGAGTGAAATTACAATCCTAGATGAATTTAGCTGGATTCTCCAAGAATGTTTTTATTTTGAGACTATATAGCTTTAGCCATGAGAATTTAATAGAGGTCCAGATAGAGGTGGAAGGTTATTGAACCCAGAAGGAGGAAAGCCATAGCTAAAGCAACCCCGACAGGTGGTTATCCAATCTTTACTTAACAACCTTTAGTGAAGGAAAATCTACAACCTCTCTAGGCGGTCTGTTTTCCTTTCGAAAAGGTCATAATGTCAGAAGGTTCTTCCTAATGTTTAGTGGAAACTGCTTTCATCATTTGGATCCATCACGCTGATGACATTTCGGCGCCAGGTCAAAACATTCCTGTTCCAAATGGCTTTTAACTGAAATAACATCAAATGTGGGTCCGATGGCAACTGTTAAAATATATATTTTAATTGCATTTTAATTATTTTGCCCTTTTATTTTGCCTTTTTATTGTATTTTAAATGCTGTAAGCCGCCCAGAGACCTTCGGGTAGTGTGGGCGGCATATAAGTTAAATAAATAAATAAAATAAATAAGTCTTACCTTCTAGAGCTGGAGAAAACAAGTATCTTTCTCTTTTAAAAAAACAACAACATATGCCCGTTTCCATCGTGCTGTAATCTGCCTTGAGTGCTGGTTCTGGAAGAAACATAGATGATGATGATAACAATAATATTTTTTCAGTAGGGTAAGGGGCTGCCATGGGTAAGAGGGGCGGGGGAAATCTGTTTCTAGCAGCCTTAGTCTGAACTGAATACAGTTTCACTGCGTCTTTCAGGCATGACAGGAGAAGCTGTGTGTTTGTGTGTTAACACGCATTTGTCACATTTGTTATAGGCCAGCAAACTGGCAAGTGATTAAGACATGTTTGCTTTGTTTGTATCAATATATTCAAAGTCATACTCTCTCTCTCCCTTTTTCTCCCCTTAGATAATAGTCTTTGACCACCATGAGTTGGAGTTTCCTGACACGTCTATTAGAGGAAATCCACAACCACTCCACGTTTGTTGGGAAAATCTGGCTGACGGTGCTGATCGTATTCCGCATTGTCCTCACTGCTGTGGGAGGAGAATCTATCTATTACGATGAGCAAAGCAAATTTGTATGTAACACGGAACAGCCAGGTTGTGAGAACGTTTGCTATGATGCTTTTGCCCCCCTCTCCCACGTGCGTTTCTGGGTTTTCCAGATCATCCTAGTCTCTACACCCTCAGTGATGTACCTGGGCTATGCCATTCACAAAATTGCCCGGATGGTAGAACATGGTGATCCGGAGAGGAAGTTTCGAAGCAAGCCTTTCCCAATGCGCTGGAAACAACACCGGGGCTTAGAAGAGGCAGAGGATGACCATGAGGAAGATCCAATGATGTACCCAGAGATTGAGGTGGAGAGTGAGCGAGAGCAGAAGGAGAATCCAGCCCCAACCAAAAAGCATGATGGCAGGAGGCGAATTCGAGAGGATGGGCTCATGAAGATCTATATATTACAACTCCTAAGTAGGACCATGTTTGAAATTGGCTTCCTTATCGGCCAGTATTTCCTCTACGGGTTTGAAGTCAGCCCTAAATTTATTTGCAGCAGACTGCCATGCCCGCACAAAATAGACTGCTTCATTTCGAGGCCCACAGAAAAAACCATCTTCCTGCTCATCATGTATGGTGTGAGTTGTTTGTGTTTACTGCTGAACATCTGGGAAATGCTTCACTTAGGATTTGGCACCATCCGGGACACACTGAACAATAAGCGGAAAGAGCTGGAGGAGTCGGGGACCTATAATTATCCCTTTACTTGGAATACACCATCCGCTCCTCCAGGCTACAATATTGCAGTAAAGCCTGACCAGATACAGTACACGGAACTAACTAATGCCAAAATAGCCTACAAGCAAAATAAGGCCAACATTGCACAAGAACAGCAATATGGGAGCAACGAAGAAAACATTCCCAATGAGCTGGAGAACCTCCAGCGAGAAATCAAAGTCGCTCAGGAACGTTTAGACCTCGCCATCCAGGCTTACAATAACCAGAACAACCCTGCCTGTTCCAAGGAGAAGAAGCCGAAAGGCAGCTCCAACAAAAGCAGCGCAAGTAGTAAATCAGGGGATGGGAAAACATCCGTCTGGATTTGATGCTGCTCACCTGGGATTTATTGGCTGACTGTTTTCCCTTGCAGGTGATAGTTTGTGATCACGACCAAACTTGTTGTATGAGGACTTTCACTGGACAAAAAATTTGGGTTTTGTTTAAATTCAGGGATATTGGAGACTGCCGAATAAGAGACTCCAAAATGGTGACCATCGTTTATGCTCACCACATTCTGATGTTCCAGAACGTGTATACTTGTTTCTTCCAAGACAGGGGAAGACCCAGCTATATTGATTTTTAAAAAAAAAAAAAACACAGACACAATCATTCTTGTTGAACGGTTTATGCTGTATGTACAGTATTATGGTACATTTTATTATGCACATTTTTTTGTATTTGTATATTGGATATCTCAGTTATACTTTTTTCTATTAAAAGGAACAAAATAGGTAACTCTGGTAGGTTTTTTTTCCTACTGTACATTCATAACATTGAGTGTTCTTGAAGTGTAAATTATGGAGCAGCATCCTTCCCACAAACACATAAAACCAAAGCTAGAGAGTAATTCCTTCAGATGTCCTAGGAATGGGTAGAATGCTCACTATTTCAGATAAAATGGTAGTTACCATGCATTTCAGAATGGCTTTTGGCACATCATCTCAGAGGCACAGATGTTTCAGGTCTCAAAATATTTCTAGATCTGTAAGTGTTCCTTATGAAGAAGCGGGGGGAGGGAATGAGCCAAACAACTAGGACAAAGTTTTTCACATAATTTATAGTTTATGACAATTTTTTAATATATTGGGGTATTTCACACTAGTTCTTCTGTCTTATAATCGTATAACTGCAGAGCTAGAAGGGCCTCTATGGATCGAGTCCAGCTGTTGCCAAGGAGGCCCGTGGGGAATCGAAATCCCAGCCTCTGGCTCCACAGCCAAAGACCTAAACCACCGAGCTATCCCCCTTTGATGTTTCTAGATTAAGCAAAGATTAAACCAAGCAGAGAATCCATTTCAATAAAACTGCTCATCCCCCATAAAAAGGACACCCTTCCTTTAAAGTAACAACTATCACTGCAAACAAGCCATCAATTTTAACACATTTCCGCAATGCCCAATGAGAAGACATCAGTCCCCCTGGAGTGGTGTTCTGCATAAATAAAAAGTCAAAAAAAAATCAGCATTACCTATGTCGAACTTATTCTTTGTTGGTCCGCTAAGTATCTTCACTGCCATTCTGTGTGTAGAGAAGCAGGACATTGTTTGGAAGTATGTGCTCTAAACTGTTGAAAACTACATTGATGTAATTGTAGATAGACCCTGCTGACCAGATAACACAAAAGGAAATCTAAATGGTGAATTTGGTGAACCTTTAGCTTGATCCCACAGGGCTTTCCTCGGGGCATGTCAGTACAATATGATGAATCAAATTTCGTTGATTTTGCAAAACTTGGCAGTGGGGAAGGGTTTAACCATACATTTTAACAGTTAACAGCCAACATCCTATGGTGCAGATCCACCTCTGTAGCAAGAAGTGGCAGATTGAAACCTTCTCTATTTGGTTGTAGGGTACATACGTACATACATGTGACAATGTTGTTTGCCCCTGAAATTGAAAAAAGAAGAATCTATGACAATCTGATAAAGGCATCATTCCCATTGTACAGACAACTTGCACAATGGAATTTTGGCCACAGTTTCTTTCCATTATCCTGTGACACATAAGCTCTTCAGACATGAGAGCAGCTTGGACTGAGCACAGATCATAAGAGTTTCAGAGACCTAATGATGCCACATTGACCTTATTGCATTACTCGTCAGTTCCACCAGTCTTACTGCTTCCTCCCATTCCATTGTAGTTCTTGGATAAAGACATTTTTGTGGGATTGGAAGCGCTGCAAAAAGCTGAAACAACTGTTTAACCAGAGACCATTGTGGTTCAGAGGGATGCTCCACCCTAGTATGAATATTTTGTGTAAGGACGGCAGTACTGAATCTTCACTGGATTTCTGAAATGTGGTGGCCTTGTTCGAAAGTTTGTTTGGAGTTGCTGAAGGAAAGGGGTTTTTCTAATTAAAAAAATTCTCCCCTTGCTCAAGGCAGATACAGAATCTGGAATGGGGTGAGTGCAAATGTGTTCACTTCTTATTTCATCAGGAGACCAGTCAGGCTTTGGCATTCAACTTTGTTTTATAATTAGACAACAGAGAATGCAATGTTTATTGCCTTTGGTGATTCCTTTTTGGCAAGGCTAAACGAGATCAGAGAGAAGCAGTTGATGCTGTGTACTAATGTTTATGAATTCAGGCCTCTGCGGCTCAGCACTCCTCCCTGTTTTTCTGGTGGTATCACTGTGAGGCTACATTTCACAGACCTATTCTATTATTTCCCCTAAGGTACGAAAGTCGGGCTACAAGGCTGAAATTCCAACTTTCATCTCTTCCGAAATGTCATATTTCCCTTTTGAAACATGAATAACTCAAGGCAGTTCACAGTATATGAATCTGACATGGTGGGAGGGAACACGGACAGAGCAATTTCAATTCATCATTTTAATATATTCTGTAAAACAAACTGTAGTCTAAAACCTCAACTATTTCAAGCCTTCTTTTGAGTGAGGCATCTCTTGCCTGGCCTTTCAGATACTAAAACTGTAGCGGTTTCATATAAGGGAAGTCAGATGTAAGGCTCTGGTGGGGATCTCTTGGGAGGGAGCATTACAACTATTTATCCCTTACAGAGGTGGTATAAAGGAGCAGGCTTGGTATAGATAAGTAGCCTGCCCAGTGGTGCATGCTTTTGGTAAGAGAGCAGCTAAACAAATTGTCTGTGATTTGTTTATTTTTATATTGAAACTGCTAGAGCTGGCTTTTGCCTGTTTCCCTCCTGACAATTAACCCTAAAACAAACTCTGGATCATTTGTCTTCTTGGAAGAGGAAAGTGTGACAGCTCTCTTGGGGCATATTTCCATGTTGCAGTAAAAACCTGTAGTCTTAGATCCACAGTTTGTTTTGATTTGTTTAGATGCTGTTATTGAAGCAGGGGAGATCAGCCAGCCTCCACTTCAATGGCTTGTCTTTAGCAAGCCAGAATTTTCTTGCATTCAGGCAAATCGCGATGTCCAAATGTAGCCAGAAAGTTCATAGGATATTGCCTTATCTGAAAAAGCATTCAGACTCATGTGCAGAGACTCCTGAATAATTTTAAACAGTTGTGATAATATTAGACTCCACTGTGTGACTATCTTTTTTGTTCCTGTAAAGAGCAAAAGAGGGAAATGAATGGAACAAATCTGTAAACTGGACATCCTGTAAACTTTTATGGTCCCAATCCCCCCAAAAGTGCAAATGCAACATGACTAGCACCGTTTATGAACAGGCTGCTAGCATGGTGTGTCTTGGTGCAGTCTGATTTTTTTTAATTCAGTGGCAAGTGGCAAATACACAGCCACAGACATACACAGACATCAAGGGACCACTGTACATGGAGAGATGTGGGTGCAACCTCTGTCTGCAGATCCGTATCCATAGTTATTATTTTGGGGGGTTGTATCCACATCTATTTTTGAAACATCTGTTTCACACACGTGATGGTTTCTGCTGCAGATTTATATGCTGAGAATGATTTCATGTGCAAAACCTTTAGCTGCAAGCAAAATGATTGCTAGATTGAAGCACATACTTCATCCAACCTAGAAGTATAGTGGTTTTCAAACTGTTCTTCATGGTCTCTGTGAATGCACACAGGGGTTATTCTCTGCCTGTGCAAAAGTTCTCGGAAGATTCTAGAACTTTATCACATATTTGCTAGGACCGCTCCCTCTGAGTGCATGCTGTGCCTGTGCCGTAAGGCTCCTCAGTTCCTTTTTGCTGCTGCTGAGGTAGTCTTTTTCCTTATTTTCTTCTCAACCTCGCCATTTTGTTTTGACCTCTTTGATGTCCCCTCTCCTCTCCTGGTTCATGAGTTACAAAAAAACAACCCCAAGATTCATCAATAGACATTTAGATACATTTCATCCTCATCATTTTATGGCCCCTGCGGGCCCCTTCAAAAGGTGCGCTATGTGCCCTAACAAATTTCCCCTCTCAGATGGCCACAATCATGTGTCTTTGTTTGGAGGAACAGCATCAAACTCACTCATACCAGGCCTGAAATTTCATCTCCAATAGCTTCACTCCTTCCTTTGACAACAATCCTTTCAACTACCCACCAGTTCGTATTCAATGGATCCGACACTGGCTACACAGCCTCAGGGACGAGATTCCATCCCACTGTAATCTCTGACCTGGCACCGAGGCTGTTACCCAAACCTGCTAAATCTAAATCTGCCTCCGCGACCACCCTCAACATCGACCTCGAGATTGGGTTCAACCATGAACCTCATCTGCTCCTCTAACTCCACCTTCCCCTCCAAAACATATGAAAAAGTTTTCCTTGGACCTGGAGGGATGAAAGGCATGCAGGCATACCACTGACCCCAAGAGGATATTGGGAACAGATACCTCGCCCCTTAGGGCTAAGGTGACTGTGGGGAGAGACCCTTTACCCTCCCTGATATCAGAGGAGACTCCCCAGAATCTGGTATGTATGGACTCTCCATCGGAAAATGAGGAGGACCCACTCCCACCATATGGCCATGCACAACTCCTGTTTTTAGGCACCTGACTGGGGTGATACATCTTCAGAGGCGACTACAGTCGTGCCCTGCTTAATGATTACCCCGTATAACAACGAACCCACTTCACAACGATGTGTTTGGGATCGCAATTGCGATCGCAAAATGATGTTTTAATGGGGTTTTTTCACTTTGCAACGATCGGTTCCCAAAGCAGGGAACCGATTCTTCGCATTACGACGATCAAAACAGCTGATCGTTGGGTTTTCAAAATGGCCGCCGGCTGCTCAAAATGGCTCCCCGCTGTTTTTAGGAGGCATTTTTTACTTAACAGCCCCCCGAAAATGGCCACCATATGGAGGATCTTCGCTGGACGAGCAGGTATTCAGCCCATTGGGACGCATTGAACGGTTTTCAATGCATTTCAATAGGCTTTTTGATTTCGCTTGATGTTTTTGCTCTACAGCGATTTCACTGGAACGAATTAACGTCGTCAAGCGAGGCACCACTGTACTGCCTTGCAGTCCATGCATTCAAAGTCCTGTATCTCTGGGACATTCACCAATGGGCCAGCACTCTGAATCCCCTAATGAAGGGCTCAAGACGCCCCTCCGACTTGGAAATGCTCTGCCAAGGCTCATCATACCTCGAGCCAGTGCAGTACTGAAATGGGTTACATCCAGGCCCAGCAGAGCTAT